TTTGTATTGACCGCAGAATACTGGAAGAAAAGGCGGAAATGCAGGCAGAGCGCAGAAACACATGAGCTGTGCAGCTACATGCCTCGGCGCATCTGGTTTTGGGGCTTGACGCTCTTTGTTGCATCTAGGTTCGTCAGTTTGTGCGTAGCATAGCACATGAAGGACAGTCGTATCAAAATGCGTTTGCAGCGCGGGCTAGCTGCTCTGTTTGCAGACGAAGCGGCCTTAAGAATGGCCGTCCAGAGTCCGCACTTCCTTGAATGCTCTGGGATCTGTTGCCTATGCATTTTTAGGGAGACATAAGAGCACCCGAAAGTATTCGAATGACCCGCGTTGCAGTCGCTGCCATGCAATGCCGCATCATAGGCATGGGCATGAGGAGCAATCCAAGTTTTGCATAAGCCCAAACGGACTCTCAAGCTGAACACGTGCTTTCCACCATAGAGTCTGGCCGCTGCTGCTTCACCATTCACGATAAAAGTGCTCACAACAGCACATGGCACGTTCAATCCACCAGCATTGTCGGCTATAATCATTGTTTGAGGAGGCATTTATCGTAGAAAGCAGTTGCAAGCTGCACAAGCTGCCGCAAGTCACGAACAAGCTGTTTCTATGGGGGCTCCAAAACATTCTTTAGTTTGCAGCGGAGCAGTTGTGTGAATGACATTCCAACACACGTAACAAACAAACCCTACCCATGTTACAGATGCTTACAGGAGCTCCCTGCCCATGTGCAGCGGCACGCGCCGTACATTTGAAATGCACGCCCCTTTCTTGCATGTCTACAAGGGAAACGGTGCTTCGTTAAGCCTTTTGCATTCTACGCCAGGCTTTGTACCTGCCTACTCAGCAGAAAAACACTCTCAGGCATTCGCATGGCTCATCTCAGCGTAAGCCTTCTCACGACGACCACGACCAACGTGGCGTCATCAAATCAGCATTCAAAGTGGTCACCGTTCACACTCACAGGGCTTCCCGTAAGGCGTCCAACTTGGGAAAAGAAATGGAAAATTTCTTCTGCCCACACTACCTGCCTGATCTCTGCCCCTTCGTGACAACCATTAACAACTTTTCTGTACACTGCAATCGTCTGTTACCGGTTCTACAAGCCATCAAGCATAGAACGCCGTATATCGATGTCATTGTCCTGGATACCAAATCCTACACGATTTCTTGTTCCGGAACTAGCAGCGCGCCCTGGTCCTCCACGCACCTCCTGCCCCCCAAACATTGAACTGCAGTACATCTCATACATACAGCTCTACCTGGCTAGTATACATTCAATGCTCACAACAGGCATACGTGAATGCCGCACAACCCTGGACTACAGACGGAACTGCAGTAGTAGACACTGCAAAAGCGAGTTTACACCAGCCACAAACACATACGATCATTGCATACGCTGTGCTCAATCCCTCCACAACTTTTCGTGCAGTAAGAACCAAGCGATATGCCTTACATCCTGCATGGGTTCCCCGTATCTGGCTGCGCACTACGTCACTGCCACGTAGGTGCGAAGGCAGTGCTGATCAAGCGAAGCGTTGCGCTGCCTTCACACTCCCCCAGTATCTAGGTACGGCAACTAACTTTCACGCAGATGCAAAGACTGGCATGCTGCTTTTGGAAAGCTCCAAAATACAAGTAACTTATCGCGTTCGTTCCCGCTGCTTCGAAGAAACACACGAAAGCTGAACGGCGCGACAGCAGCGTATACCCTTTTCCATTGGCAAATTCTTCGACCTGTCAAACCATTCTTCGGCGTTAGGAAAATGTACTGTGTCCCTTTTCCACAGAACTACCTCCTGCATATGCTGCCCATAATCACGCGATCTCATGCCTGCGCAACAATACTAGCGCCGCGTGGCGGCTACTCAGACAACCATATCGACACTCACCGTACCTTTCTACACGTCTATCAGTCTCTTGCGCAACAGCGGAAAACACAGCTCCCTGACCATCTGCACCAGCCCCAACGTCTGCATCCCCACCAGGCAAGCACTCTCAGACAAACAGACGCTTCTCCCCCGCATGAGACTCAAGTTGACCGCCACTTCTGCTAGCCACAAAAACAGCCAGTCTCTTCCGCAACAGCGAAAAACACAGCTCCCTGACCATCTGCACCAGCCGCACCGTCTGCATCCCCACCATGCAAGCACTCTCAGACAAACAGACGCTTCTCCCCCGCATGAGACTCAAGCTGACCGCCACTTCTGCCAGCCACAAAAACAGCCAAAAACGCACCAAATGCACGGAACATGATCAGAGCGTTCACTCGTTTCGCGCATGTTGTTCGTTGTGAAATCTTTGCATCTATGCAAACTATCCTGCCTCCTTGCCGCCTTGTCACCAACGCCATCGGTTTCGCTGCTCATCGTGGACGACTGTGCCTAATTCCACAGACGCAACACATCTATAGCCTCACATATCCAGTGTACTTTCACTGCCCACAATAGGCATAGGTGAATGCCGCCCAACCCCCCGGACTACCGACGGAACTGCAGTCGTAGACACTGCAAAGGCGAATTTCCACCAACCAAAAGCAACCGGGAGTCACTTCGTGTCGCTGTTATCCGTCACTCCACAGCATTTCCTGCAGTAAGAACGAAGCGATACGTCGTACAGTCTGCATGGGTTTCCCGTATCTGGCTGCACACTACGTCACTGCCAAGTAGGTGCGAAGACAGTACTGACCAAGCGAAACGTTGGGTTGCCTTCACAATCCCCCAGCATCTGGGTACGCTAATGTGCCTGCATGCAGGCGCAAAGGCTGGCAACCTGCTCACTACTACTAACGTCGCGTGGCGGCTACTCGAACAACCATATCGACACTCATCGTACCTTTCTACACGTCTATCAGTCTCTAGTGCAACAGCGAAAAACATAGGTCTCTGACCATCTGCACCAGCCTCGACGTCTGTGTCCCCACCAGGCAAGCACTCTCAGACAAACAGACGCTTCTCCCCCGCATGAGACTCAAGTTGACCGCCACTTCTGCCAGTCACAAAAACAGCCAAAAAGCGCACCGAATGCACGGAACAAGATATGAGCGTCCACACGTTTCGTGCATGTCGTTCAACGTGAGATCTTTGCGTCTATGCAATCTTTCCTGCCTTATTGCTGCCATGTCACTAGCGCCGTCGATTTCGCTGCTCATCGTAGGCGGCTGTGACTCACTTCACAACAGCCTACAGCATCACGCATCGTGTATTGATACCACCGTCCCGATGCTTAATTTTAGACGATCTCTGGTCTGTTTCCTCGCAGGCCTTCGTCATTGCCACTGTGGATCGTACCGTCACATCAGCATTTGTGAACAGTACGTCGTCATTGCTCACGGTGCATATGACTAATGACTCTGTGCATCTAAAGAGCTGCAGAGGTAAAGCACCCGTAAGCAACTAATGGCCGACCCAAAGCAACTATCAATCCTTGCATATTGTAGCAAAACGCCATTTGGTTTCTACGCCGTTACAAAGAGTACGTACAGTACGCGCCATGGCATCACATCTACACGGTATCGTCGTCACTGCCTTAGCGTGAGACTTCATTCGATCTTACTTCTCCAGCGCAGCATGCTAAAGAGTACAGAGTCCATTGCACATGTTCGTATAGTTCGCGGTTTCGGCGCACCCCGTTTGCCTTTTAAGGTCAACACTCATCTCACAAAAACACAGGAATGTTCTCTTGTCCTTACCACCTGGCCGATTTTCTTGTCAGGTCGTGACGACTGTCAGAGAATATGTATCACCCGCAGTGCTTCCTGGCCTTCAACCCACCTTTTGTTGTTGATGATACAGGCAACTCTCCTAACGTCACTTTCGACCACTACGACTTCGGTGTTACACTGCCTAGGAGAGAGTGTTACACAACCTTACAGATGCCCCAGCAAACTACAGATCTAGTTTCTGGACATATAGTGTTGATCATCCATAAACTAGAAGTCGATGCGCAATCCTGTGAAACGCCGCTCAGCATACAAATGTTTTCTTCAGTGGAAAAAGCGCTAAGCACTACGTTGCGTGCATAAGTTGCCCTGTACGTCGTTTCGTCACACCGGCGTTACGCCGTTGCAGAGGTAGACATTGCACGTGAAAACGCAAGCAGCGCCAAGAGTTCACCGGGGGCGCGCGCTAAAGAAGCATATGAGAGGCGAAAGACATGGCAGAAGCTTAGACACATCACTTCAGCGCATTCGTCTAGCTGCTGAAACCCAAATGCTACAAAACTCCGCACTTTGTCTTAAACTCGCGGATACAAGATTTGCATATTCACCGGATAGTCAGGCATTTGCATGCCTGCCAGTCAAATGCAGCTGTGTGCGGAAGCTGCTTGCAAGATGATCCTACATAGAGACATGTAAACTTTTCGTGCATTTCTTCACACCATGAATTCCTTGCATGGGCGCTAAGTGCTCGCGGAAGTCCCACTTTCTATTCCAGCTTCTACGTCTGCATGCTCAAATGGCAAACCATACCAAATGGACAAAGGCTACGCCTCAGCATGAGCTACAATACTTCCTCCAATACCGGCGTCCAACACATGCCAACAACCGCAGAATTTACAGAATACGTTCAGCTTACTCACAGCTTTGATGCTCGCTGACTCCAATGGCAGCACAGGGACTGCACTCTTGTCACGAAACGAAGCAAGCGAAAATCTCTCCTGTCCTCACCACCTGTAGGATCTTGTTGCCAGACTGTATCAATTCAAAATTTCGGCCAAGCCCAACCGTCAGCTAAAAACTCCAGAACAGTGTTATGTCCGTCGAATACCATACATTTGGACTACTGCGCTCCTTATCAGTTTCACCTCCACTGGCGTTCCTGCCGGCAAGTGGTAGTCACGCAACTCGTTGGTCGCCTGATAAAACTGCAGTGATAAAGTCTGCAAATACAGCTTTCTTGCACATTTCCGCGAACCAGAAAAAACAAATAGTCACTGAATATCGCAGCGAAGAGTTAATTTGTTTCTACTACGTGTCTTGCAGTAAGAACCGAATGTCACTTCACCCAAGCGGCATAGACGCTCCTAATCTGGCCGAGTTCTATGTCCCTGCAACACAAATCAGAGGACACTATATTGCTTGCAGAACAAGCGAAATTATAAGCGGTATAATTTGCCTAGTGGAAAAGAGCTTAAGAAACAGCGCAAACGTTGACAGTCAAAGAAGAGCATGCCCAAGTCCTAACAGCTCAGTCTTCTTACCGCCAGACCCAGGCGTGAAGCGCACGCTGCAACTTCAATTTAAATTGCACGATGTCTATTTCCCATGTGGCCAGGTGCTCGTCTCCCTGCACCGAATAGAACTCTGTGGGAGGCTCCTTGGAAGGCATCTCTGTGCATATTCGTTGGAGCTTGCCGTCCATTTCTGCATGTTGCATACTCTTGAGCATGGACGCCCAGCAGTATCACTAGTTTCTTCGATGATCTACTATAGAGCTGTATTTTCACACTGAAAAGACACAAATCCTTAGACAGCCAAAAGCTATGACTCAAGCCCAGCCCTCATTCTTCACCTAGTGCCGATAATCACGGATACAACTGAAAATGCGCCAAATGCCCGCGCCAAGCGCCAACTGCTCCTGATTTGGATAAATGCTGTTTTCAGCTACAAGAGTGCTCACGCAATCATGTCACGGAGTATAAAGTGAGTAGGCTCATCAGTGCGCACCAGCTGTTTGATTCCAACAACAGTTTGCGCCAACCCTCACCAATTATCCACCACAATCGACCAAAACAGCCCGCCATCACTAAACGCCAAATACCAGGGCAACTATGCTCGTCGCCCAAACCCATAGGATCTCCATTTTGCGTAAGCGCAACGCTTCCTGCCCCTGAAAGCAATATTTGCTTCCCAGATCGCGCACACCGCACCTACAACCACATCTTGCAACACCAACTACGCTCAGCGCGTTGCGTGTGTGTAAAAGTTGTGCAGCTTTGTCCACGATCCACAGAACTGCAGTCGTAGCTGGTGCGGAAAAGACGTCCACCAACCAGAAAGAACAAGCAGTTCTTCTTACCGCAATGGAGAGCCACTCAATAGCTACAGCACCTTATGTAAAAAAGACCAAACGTAAGGGTATCCGACTTGCATATATTTCCCGTGTCTGGCACTTCTACGCAGCGACAAGGGCCTACAAGCTGCTTGAGAACAGCGCCTTAACCACAAACAGCATCACTTGTTCAAGGAGGAAGCACCAAAGGTATGGCAGGAGGGTGGACAGAACAACAAAAGCGTACTCACAGAATACGAGCGCACTGTTCTAATAGTCAAAACTAGTCTTAAAGAGGATAACACATTGAACGTTCTATTTACGTATGCAGCGTCTAAAATCCGTTGTACCACCAGATACCGCCGTTTTCGCGTGAAGAATGATGCCTTGTGAACATGCCGTAAAGATGCGCCTAATGCTGTCTCGTGTTTGTATAACCGGTTTACACTCTTTTGCCACCCACTCGGCGGTCCACACAGGCCTACCTTAGCCTCTACGTCTGCAGTAACAACTCATGCAGCCAGATTTTTCTTCTTAGTCCAAGTTTTCGTTCCTTCTACATTGCCAGCACACATGCAAACGAGACTACATATGCATAAGGGAAGGTGGACGCTCGATATATTCACTCTTTCGATGCACACAGTTTGTTTTCGGGATATTGCGTCTGCACTCATCTCATGGGAGCACATTTAACGCAAATGCTGTCCAGACAACCAATTTCTCTCTGCTGCATTGTAACAACCGTCACGAGGTTTCCTGGCTACCACAATGGGCTGTGGCATTCCACAACAGAATACCACAGTAGGACGCCATGCATCAGGATAACTATTCCCGGCACTCAATCCTACGCAATTTATTCTACGTATATATTTGCGGATTCTTGACTCCGAACGCACTTCCTGTTTCCTCCATGCACACAGCACACTGGCAGCTACTTCTTGCAAGTAGGACGTCGTTACTCACGCTGCCTGCAAGTGACTCCTGCACAGCTCTACAAATGTCCAATTAAAGTGTAGTCGTAAACTAGTTCAAAATATTATCCACTGACGGAAGGAGGCTTTGCAGCAGGTCGTACTGAAATAACGCTCAATATCAGCAGCAGTAGCTGCACTAGGATGCTACAAAGCGTCCATAAGTAGCGCCTATCTCGTTTTGCTACGTGAATACCACGCAATTGGAGGCACAGTCATATTTCGTCAAGGACACCGAAACTCAAGCAGCATTATGTGGTCAAGGTTGAAGAGCCGAAGACACAGCTAACACATGGTTTTCGTGAAGGCAGTGTGCTGAGGTCCCAATAGTCCATTCATCAAACCGCCTAAATCAGACTACCATAAAAGCATTCAGCGTACCTCTAATCCGTGAATGCAAGACATGAGTATTCTACGCTCAGTCAGACGCTGATGCCTGAGCTACTAAAGCAATTTCGCAAGACGGCTGCATGCAAGAGTTCGCTGCGCAGATGTATCGACGTCTGCCATGCAATTTACGCCGCCCTTTATTATCGAATGTGCAGTCTAAGCGGTCTTACCAATACCAACAAACATATCGACAATGTAATCCAGCCGCTGCGCCTGCACACGAAGTAGACAGATACCTTTTAAGACAGCCAGACTCACTGCCCCAGCAGAAACCCACAGCCCCAAGTCATTGCCACTGTACGCGCAAAGAGAAACTGGGACGCCCAGAAAGCTAAGTAGATGCTCGCCGGTTCTAAAATTACGATGCAGGGCATCTGCCTCGTAAATAAAAATGTGCGCTTGAGTTACGAAACGCAAAAGAAAGGCATTCTCACCGAAATCGTTCCCAGAGGCTCTCAAAAGTCTGTATGTTTTATGTCCATCACAATCGGCTCTGGCCAACTCCAAATGGGCGCGTGACAGCCAACGGCACCTCCATTTCATACAATTTGTCGCCAGTGCATTTGCAGCTCCTCTGGACTATCAGCACACCTTCCCGCAAGCACACAATGCACCTATAGCCGCTTCTGGTCAATGCCACTTCACTGCTGATGCTGTACACTCGTGAATGTTGCGCAATGCTACTGATTCCAGATAGAACTGCATTCTTGGATTCTACATGAATGAGTGTCATCAAAAGAAACTCAAACAAACGTTGCTGCAGATTGCAGTGAAACGCCATCGAATTTCCATAACGTTACATGCAGCAAGCGCCATGCAACACAGCAAGGTACCTGGATATTTCCCCTGCATGGCTTCGCGCCACCGAACTGCCACGCAACACCTGATATTCTCGCTAATCTTGCAAAACACACCAAAACAGATACAGCGTCGTATGTTCGAGCTGTCGGTCAAACACACATCCGAAATATGGGTTGTGTCTCAATAGCTTGCACACGCCCCAATAGCGAATTCTCACAGACAGCAAACTCACACTACGATAGAGTCTCTCAATGGATCTCTACATTCAAAATGCGTGATTTGCATACAGACTTTATGGCGACGCGCTTGCCTGTGTGCGGGACACAAACAGCCTTGCGCGGAGGCTGCTTGGAAGATCTCCCTACAGAGCTACATCGGACCTTCATGTGCACTTTATATGTATATCCACCGTGTACACAGACGTTCGCCTTTTTGGGTAGCACAAAAGCAATTGCGTGTGGAAGCACCTTGTAAATGCTTTCCGCACAGATGCGCCGGAGGTTGCTGTGCGCTTCAGAACGCCCGCCACTATTTTGCACATCCGCTATTAGTCTTAAAAATGTTGACGAGCCTATCCAGGCTTCGCACTGGTGTCAACACACTCAAAAGTTTCGCTCAAGCATGAGGCTTCGTTCTTTCTCCACTGTTAGCATAAGCACAAATGAGCAGCGGACAGCGTACATGGTCCATACTTGAAGCGTTCACCGTTTCATTGCATCCAGTTTGCCGTCTGGATATTACATCCACACACATCTCTTGGGAAAAAACACTAAAACGAAGGCTCCCTTGTCCAAGCCGCCAGTCTCTCTTTCCTGCATTGCAGCAACAGATGGTGGATTTTCTGACTACCTTAATCGAGTTTGGCAGATCCCACAACAGCCTACAACCAACCAATGCCATGTCTCAGAAAAGCCATAATCAACCCTCAATCCTACGCAATTTGATATCCCTATGTTTTCAAAGCTTCTAGACTCTCAACGCACTTCCTGTTTCCCTCTACGGACAAAGCACCAACAGCCACTTCCAACCAATACTATGCCACGGGTCACTCCGCTTATGAGTCACCGTTGCACAACTCTAGAAATACCCAACGAAACTGAAGTGGTAAACTACGGGCCACTGCCCGCTGATCTAATGAAACGAGTCTCTCTAGCAGGTCGTACTGAAACGACAATGTCAGCAACGTTGAGTGCTCTAGGGGCAAAATGGCGTGTCAAGCAACTTCCATAAAGAACGCCCATCGTGTTATGCTGCGTGACTGCCGCTTGATTGCAGGTAACATCATACTGTGTCAAAGACATGCCAAAGAACACGCAACAGTATGCGGTCAACGATGAAGCGCCTCATGCACGGCTTATATCTAAACGTCAGGAAAATAGCGTTGTCCGCTTCAAATAGCTCACTTTGCTGATTGTCCAAATCAGACATAGCTAGGAGCGCAAAATGCAACGATTCCTCACAGAGGTAGCATATGCAAATACAGCATATGAGAACTTTACGTCCAACCAGTCACTCGTGCTTGAGCTACAAAAGCAGTGCCGCAACGAAGGTTTTTGCAAGCGTTCGCTGCATCGAAATCAGCATTGCACTTTACCCCACCCTTCACTATCGCACATGCAACCTCAGCGGTCTCGTTAGTACCGACAAACCATTCGGTAATTTACGGAGCCGCCAAGCCACGTTTGCGCACACACCCAACAGGCAGACGGCCTCAGACAGCCCGATTTTCCGCGCCAGCAGAAGCCTTCATTCTTGCGCCAATGCCAACATACACGCAAGCAAAACGACACGCACAGAATACACAGTACACGCTCGGCGTCTTCACTGTTATCATGCAACGCATATGCTGCGCGAATAGAGGATCTGCATTCGTGTCGCAAAACGCAGAGCAGAAGCTCTCTCATGTCCGCTCCACTTGTTCGATTTCGTTCCCAGCGGGAGTCAAATGCCTCTGCAGCTTCTTATCTGAAACAATCAACTCTGACAAAATTCGCAACAAATACAAACCACTGACTGCCATGCAGTAAAGCGACTACCAAAGACAACTCAATCCTTCGCAAGCCTCTGCCCTTCAATTTGAACCACCGCCAGGACACTAACGCACTTCCTTTAGTCACCCAAACACACACGCAACTAGATCTACTTGTGGTCAACTCGTCTTTACTGCTGATGGTTCACACTGTTGGATGTAGCACAACTCGACAAACGCCAAACAGAACTCGA